GAATTTCAAATCATAGATAAGACTGATACTTCTTGATATGGAAGGGATTTTCGAGACTGCTGAAGATGAACGCAGTACCAAAGCAGTTGTTCCGAAATGGGGAAGAAAATTTGACAAGAACCAAAAGACATTATAATCGGTCACTTCTCAGCATTGTCATTAAATTCGCCGAATAATGATAATTATTAGTCACAGTGAAACATTGGAAATGATCTAATATGAGCACATTGTCGAGTCTTTTTCATTTGGAAATGACTTCAAAAAATTCATTTTCAGATGCCAAATTCGAATTCACTGAGCAGTATCACATCACATCTACCGTTATTCATTGCGTATCGCAGTGGACGTGGCAGAATACAGTCAGCAATATCCTTTTGTTAACACTTTTTTATCGCTATGCTTTTAAAACAGTAGTGTTATTAACCATTTAACGCATTTACCATTCATCTTTTGAACAACGTTAATATCATCATCCTGAATGCATATTATCAAGTTGTCGAAAATGAAGAAATGATATGTTGCAGTCACTACGCAATAAATGAGTCGAAAGTCTACGAACGAAAGGGTGCTGAGCTCACTCCTGTGACCTCATATCAGGTACCCTTTTTTTTCGACTTCTCATTTTTCATTTTCAATTCATTTGTTAATTGTTTCCGTTTGTCTGTCAAAGAATATTCTTAATACTTCATTTCATGAATTTTTTCAAACTCATCATTCAAATCGTCACTTTTTGTTTCAATCTTTATCCGAATTACATACGAATGCTGTCCGAATTACACAAGGAAGCTAAATTATTTCCTTTTGGAGTCAGCGTTCAGAATGATTCAGAAAAGAACTGTTCTCGTTAGATGCTAGAAATGAATTGTGAGTGCCATATTTTGTACTCATCGAACCATTATCAGTGATCAATCGTGCAATTTAATAAACTAAAACTCTTCAACAGGTTGATTATGGCGATCCATCAGCGCCGAGATTCTTCACAATCGAGTCACTCATTCACTACTATACAGTCTATGTGCATTTACGTCGAACAAAACACGGCGAATGTGTCGCAGATATTTTTCCACGTCTTCGTCCATTCAAGCGTAACTATCACAAGCATTCAGCACATGTCAATTGATTCGTCTCGACCACCTCGCAGAGAGTGCTACTGAATATTTCCCATCCTTCTAAAAACATGTCCCGTTATTATTTCTTCACATCAAACCAAAACCATTCTCAATTATTCGCAATCGAAAGTACAAAAACACTGTTTTGGTTCAATTTCAATTTTTAATCGTTTCGTTCTTGACTTGTACGGAGCATCAATGTTCTATAGCCGTGTTGTTCACTTACGTCTATTTCAAATTAAAATATTCACATTCGTATTCGACGATTGCATTGAATAAATTCCGTTCGGAATGTCTGTTATGAGTTTTTCATGCGCAAAGACAAACTTTTAAGAACTGAAACTTAAAAGATTTTTTCGAGTATCACCTAAATGTGTGCATTTGAAAGGATATGTTACTCGCATTCCTCTTATATTGGATATTCGATAAGCCTAATTGGTCACTTTCAAGATTCGAATAAAAGTAAACTTTTAGAATACATCGAAAAGTTTCAAAACGATATCGAGAAGTTTCAAACTTTTGGGGCTCACTGGTTTCTCATCATTATTTTATTAGGGTTAATTTCCGCTGC